TTTCCTACTTTTACTTTGCCCATATTCACTCTACAAAGCTTCTTTTCCTATCTTTAATAACTTCACTACTGCTTTAAAAAACAAGACCTCTATAGTCTAAAGTTGACTGTGATGAAGGTTGCAAAATTATCTATGCTTCAAGCTTTTAATTGTATCCTTTAAAATGGGTGAACTGTATGGTATGTAAATTCCATAAAAGAGTTCAACAAGGCCATTCCTGGACTGTGGGGGGCGAGAACCAGGCCTCACCAGGAGGTGATCCCCACCTGGAAACCTATCATTGTCATTGTGTTGTTGGGTTGGGTTTTATTCTCTTTTGTTTTGCTTGATTATGTTAAATCTGGTGGCATGAGCAGCTATTTAAAAGATAGCAAGATATAATATGTTAGTCATTTTGGATTTACTATTAGCTTATTTTGAAGTCCTTTATTGCCTTGTTTTGTTTTTATTGTTTCTGTTCTATTTTGTTCCGTTTAATTTTCACTATATCTGAAGGTATCTGCAGCTATTTTGAAGACATCAAAAGGCATTATACTAACTACTGCTAATTTTGTAAGGTTTTGAAGTCCTGTATCACCTATGTTAGTTTATCTTGATTGGTTTTATTTCCCTCTGTTTTATCCTTTTTTAAATAAAACTTAAAAATGAAAAAAAAGAGCTCAAAAACCTGTTATAAATCAACTCCCTCTTCATTACAAATCATGCTACTATGGGCGAGTGAAATGACACTAGAGATGAAAGTGCTAACCCTACAGTGTTGCATATTGGCATATTTTATATTCATAGAAAAGCCAAGTCTCTAAGAAGAAATCAAATCTACAAGGTTTGTATTTCCTTGTAAACTATCTAAAAGTTTACAATAATAATGTGTAAACTCTTTTTTTTTTTTGTTTTTTGGTCTTTTTTTTTTTTGTCTTTTTCATTTTTTATTGGTACCGGGGATCGAACTCACGACTGCCTGCTTGCAAGGCAGGCGCTTATGCCGCTGAGCTAAAGCCCCAGCCCCAATGTGTAAATTCTTTCAAAAGAGCTGGTTTTTTTTTTTTTTTTTCCTTTTGGTACAGGGGATTGAACTCATGACCTCATGCTTGCCCTGAAAAAGAGCTGTTTTTTGTTGCTTTGTTTTTTTGAGACAGGGCCTCACTACATAGTTCAGGCTGGCCTTGAACTTATTACGTACCCCAGAGAGGCCTTGAACTCATGGAGATGCTCCTACCTCAGTCTCTTGAGTACTGGGATTATGCTCATGGCTTTACCATATCTGGCAAGCACTTTTTTGAAAAAAGTATATTGGATACAAAAGAGGTAAAGAAAGTATACCAATCAATTTCTCCTTTATGCACCTGTGTTTATGCAGGAAAGGTATAAAGTGAACGTACACACTTCAAACAGGCTTAGGACTTCAAAGGTTTCAGATACTTAATGAACCGTCTGACACGATGGCCAGGCATTGCTGCTCTACAAGTGGCCTCGCCCACTCCTCCAAACAGTGGACAGGATAGGACCACAAACAGAAAGCAAGTGGTCCTTAAAATCTCACGGCTAATTTTAAAAATTTAATGATGGCACTGAATTTAGAATGCCACACAACAGTGATAAAGGCTGAACAGAAGGGTAGTAATGATCGATACTGCTTAATGCAGTCAAGGTTTCAAAAAAAAAAAAAAAAAAGAAAGAAATGCTATAAATAAAAGGGGCTGGGGATTTAGCTCAGCGGCATAAGCACCTGCCTTGCAAGCAGGTGGTCGTGAGTTCGATCCCCGGTACTGATAAAAATGAAAAAGACAAAAAAAAAATGCAGTCAAGTTTTGGCTTACAAGCTGCTCTAGGCTCACATGAAAAGGAGAATAACTCTAGTATTCTAGGATGTCCAATAGCAAGGACTGTAGGCCCTTAACTTTTAGCACAACTAGTTTCACAACCTTCACTGTGAGACCGTTGTTTAAAACCTAGAAGGCTTACTCAGGAAACAGTATGTGTTTCCTGAAATTCTCTGTAGACAATGACATGACAGAAATTCTCTGTAGACAATGGGCGTCGGCTCTTTTGAGTTGCCTGAACTACAGCGAGTGAAGAGGAATTGTCTTGGGTCACATATATACAATACATAATATATAATACTGTTAATGATTGACAAATCTTTAACTTTAAAAAAAGACAACATAATGTTTAAAAAAGACAACATAAAAATGAACCTAGTGGGATATTTGACCTTGAATTTGTGAAACTAATGTATCAATGTCTGGTTCTATGGAAGTGGTTGTAGTTTTCAGTGAGTAGCCAAGTGTTTATCACAAATTTTTAATCTCATTTTATTCTTTGTGCGCATCATTCCTGAAAATCTATGTACTGCCAAATCTATGTAATGACCAAAAGCAATGACACAAAGTACAATTGCAAAGGGATATTTTTCTTTGGGGAAACGGGTCTTACAAAAGTGGTAAAGAGACATGATCATAGCCTTTCTGAGTTGAATGTCTAATTGCCATTGTATATACATTCCATTTAAAGATTCATAGGCAATGTATTTATGTTAATTGAAAATGAAATTGCAAATATACTAAAAAACTGATTTTTTTTCAGAATTCCCAAATCTATTTATTCTGAAATTCTTGTGCCAAAAAAGGAAAGCAAGGTTGCACTGTTCACTGGACTGTGTTTAGCAACATATATAAACCTAAAGTGATTTTCACACTCACAAATTAGTGGCACAAGCACATGTAATGTCTGACACGCAAGCTTTGATGGACTATCTGTGGCGGGCTCAGGAGGCTGAGTTACACTGTACTGTGTCCTCCCCTACACAATGTCCTAGTTGTGCCAGCGCAGTCCATGTCCAAGTAATGCACAAGCGAGTCATGAAAATATTGCTAAAAATAACATTGGAATAATAAAGTTTATGATCTTGTGGGGCTGCATTACTACCTGTCCAATGCTGCACACAGCCCACGGGTTCAACAGGCCGGCTAGACAACCATGAGCAGGCAATCGTTTTTATGAGAAAAAAGAAGGATATTACCTAAGGAACACTAATGTGCATGTATATAATAGGAGCTCCCTGCAAAGTTCAAATTTAATCTTTGGTAGAAAGGTGAAATAAAAGTATGAATGAACCTTAAAAAAATGCATCTATGAAGGGTGCAGTTAACAAAGACTCATATGCCAGAGACAACATAACATTGTGCTGGCTGCATTCACTGTGAGAAGAAAACAAGAAGGGTTAGAATACTAGCTTAGAGGAAAGGAGAATAATGTTTACAAATGAACAGTAAAAAGAGCCCAGCGCAAGACAAAACTCTTAAATTTCTCTTAATAAAGAAAACAGTCTTCATATTGGTCAGGACAAACAAAAAACATGAAGATGGAACTGGGCTTGGATAGAAAGGAAGTGTAAGGACCCTGCCATGTGCAGTGATTCCTAATGCTGCCTCTGAGATGACTCTTCTGGGGATATGGAGTCCTCGCCTGAATCCTCTTTCATTCTCTCCACACCTACTTCTTGTGCAGTCATTAGCTCTGGCTTCAGATGGGAAGAGAGAATATTACTTTAATACAGATGAGAACCCAAACCTATTCAGGTTAGGTTTGTTGCATGGATTTACCAGTGATAGATGCAATGGTAGTCTCAATGTAAAAAATCTGTTATATCAAAGACTCCCAATGCACAGGCACAAGTGAGTCCATCAGCAACAGCAACAGTAGTTAAGAGACCTTTTCAAGGAGCACCACGTGTTGATTCAAGAAAAGCTTATCACGCATCTCAAATTGAATCAAGCAGTAAGAACAGGGGACAGGGGAGAGATGAAACAGACATCATGCTTATCTTGCAGAGCTTACAGTCTTGTAGGGTGATTGTTATAAAAGAGGAAGCCTTAGGATGCTATGGGTACTTGAAAACCAGGAGTGGAATGGAATCTTTATTACCTCTCTGAGTCTCCATTAATTGAAAGAGTGTTTTGAAATTCTGGGAAAAAAATTAATTTATTCACTTTAATTAAAAAACAAACCATCACCACTTATCCTTAAGGAGCTCAAAGAATATTTATTCTAAACACTGACTTTGAACAGATACATATTTTAAAGAAAATACAATTATGTTGAATATGAAAAATACTAAGTGAAAATTTTTGTCTCCTAAGAAATTTTCCTGCCACATGAGGACTTGGTGTTATTTGCTCTTTTAATCTATTAACAGAGATTTCAGACTAGCTTCTACCACCTTCCATTTCCCCAAGCTTCCAAATAGTGCAGAGTTTGGATATAAATCTGTGGATGTCTACAAAATCAACAGAGCAGACCGGCTCCCAAAACTCCACTTCATGTCCCCTTTTAGACCAAAGGTAGAACAAGGTCCTAGAAGACAGGCAGGTAACATCAATGGGCAAAATAACAGGTGATATCACTGCCTATATTTCATGAGCAGTGAAACTACAGGAAGTTGAAGCAGAAATTGAGGGGGATAGCAACTATTTGGCTCCAATGATTGCTACTGTGTGTGAAGCTGCAATTTAAAAAAGATCTAGAAGTTCAAATTTTTATTTATACTTCTGAACATATAGATGTTAAAAATTTTTTTGTTCAAAGAGCACTGGGTAGGGCTGGGGATTTAGCTGAGCAGCGTAAGTGCCTGCTTTGCAAGTCCACAGACATGAGTTCCATCCCCAGTATCAAAAAAAAAAAAAAAAAGATCACTGGGTAAATCACACAGGTCATCAACTCTCTACCTGTGCTAATGCGTCATCTTTTGAACAGCTTTGATTTGGTGTGCTAAATTCTGCAGATTTATTGTCATAACTGTAACATTAATAAATGAGGCAAAGGGTTCTCTAAATTCTCTAAATACCAAGAAGGGTGCTCACTTTTTCAGATAGCCTCGATGGACTCGTGGGATAATACCACACAATATAGAGCTGAGCACAAGGTGTTTTTTTTCTCCGAGGGGCTCACAGAACAAATTTCATTTCTTTCCTACAGCAGCTCCATCCTGACTGCTCGCTTACCCGCTTGTCAATGTCGTTGTGCTGAAGCTGCACGAAGCGCGCACTGATGGCTGCGATGTAACTCTGCTGGTTGGAGAATGCCACACGGCCAGCACCTTTGGGGTACTTCAGCTCCGGGTCTGTGTCAATTCCAGCATAGCAGACACCTCCATACAAACGGTCCATGATCATTGCCAGTTCAACTACAAGAAAATAAACATGGCTATGTAAAAATATTTGAAAAGTAATTTTGCCCAAGAGAATAAGACTCTTAGGCCTGGGGATTTAGCTCAACGGCATAAGTGCCTGCCCTGTAAGCACGCGGTCATAAGGTACCAAAAAGGGAGAGAGAGAGAGAGACTAAGACTCTTAACTAAGAGTATTAAGAAAAGGAAAACTCATGTTAAGCATCATGAAAGATGTCCACATCAATAATCAAGTAGGGGTGCTCTACTCACACAATATTTTAAAATAAAATGGGGAAAAATAAATTTAAACACATACACATAAGAGTTTATATGATCAGAATTTAAGGTAACAATATGAAAGAATGATGTATCAGTAATCCTCCTGTTCTAAATTTCCAACTTCTTGGGCTACTGGGATGAGTAAGCAAGGCATTCTAAAATGCTGTAAAGAGTTAGTGAAAAACAGTTGCATTTATTGACCTTTAAGATTGAAAGCAGCTGCTAATGTCCCACTGTTATATTAGGACTATGCTACAGAAAGAATTAATTCCTCATTTAACTAGACACAATGTCTAAATTTAAAGTAAAATTCCTATTTTAACAAAAATTAAAGATTTTAAAGAATATATACCACCCCAACTGAGAAATGTCTACACTAACCTCTTGGATTGAATTCTAAACAACACTAGTAATGATAATAGCAGCAATGAGCATTTATTGAGCATCTACAATGTGCAGGAAAGCACTACGTTGCTACACAGCCATAAAAGCACACTTATCTTGTACCTTGCTACGGTCCAAAGCTCTGGTCTGTACTCTTTGCCACATTTCCTGCCTTCCTACTGGTAAATTTTCAAAACACTAACAGAAAGCATTGGAAACCGAACCGTTCCAATGGTCTGATAAAAAAATATACCCACCATTAAGGTACCATAGAAAGATACTTACCTGCATCCCAAATTGCCTGAAGGTAATTGCTTACTTGAAACTGGACTGCACCTCTTCCAGGTTAAGACCATTCCTTTTAGGCCATATAAATCCAAAAGACTTAGCCCTACCCCTGGGAAGTGACCTAAATACTCATTTCCCTCCAAAACCTCTACATGGCATTTGGAAAGGAACTGTTAGGGAAGACACATGATGATCGGGGCGCGGCCGCTGTGCAAAGAACACTGCACCACATGTAAAGAGCTCTGACAAGATCAGTGTCTGGGGAGGAGAGAGCACTTAGGACCTGCTTGGGTAGGGAAGGTTTTTGCAGCAGCTACAAGGGTTGAAAGGGTGAATGGTGTAAGAAGCTCTTGCCCCAAGATTTCTACAAACAGAATGAAAGCCAAATATTAATGATTTCTTTAATAAAAACCCACTGAAACAACAATAAAAACTGCATGACCATGTCAGAAGTATCTTTTTAACTCTCTAAAATTTCTTTTCATACCAGACTGCGTAAAATTGGTACCTGTTTTCTAAGTACCTATTTTTAAATAGGAAAAATGATCTGTAACCAATGGGTAATTGGCAATTGAGAAAATAAGCTAGTAATAACTCAACCCAAGGCTGAATGCTGTTAGATGGAGCAGCAGAAAGTCATCCAGATTACTCCATCATGGTCAGAACTGCTGAATGATATCAGCAAGGGAGCGCTGTTGGGTAGAGGTCAGCTTGAGGAATCCCATCCATGTGAACAATGCAATAAAATCTGTGCCCATATTCTAAATATCACAGTTCAATAGTTACATTTCATCCGAACAACCCATTAAGCTGTAAGCTTCTCTTCATATGGCTAATATTATCCTATAACAGGGATCAAGAAACTGAAAGTAGAATTACTATTTATTACAATCATTAATGGATTTCCCTTATTGGTCAAATGGGCTTAATAAAATAAGTAACTTCAGGGCCCTGAAAATGAAATACTACTAATTTTCCAAAGACCAGGCTTCCTGGAAAAGGCGAGGATATATTCTCTAAGCCTGATGAGCAGCTAAGAAAAGAATGCTGGCAAGGAACCAAAGGGCATGTGTCTTTCACAAGAGGAGTGATCTGAGAAGGCAGCTGATTAAAAGGCACATCAGTTGTGAGCTTAAAGCTCTAGCTAAGGAGAGAAGTGACTGTACCCAAAGGTTCCTCTGCATCATACTGCCCTCCAGGAAACCCCAGTGATCCCCTGATGCCAGAGAAGGTGCCTCTGTGACCCGGAACCTTCCATTACTTTGTAAATGTATCCTCTGGAAAATCATCTCCAGGTGCCAAAGATTAGATCATAACTCATGTTACTGGGAGTTTTGATAGAAAACAGAAACTCTCAACCATTTATGCTTTTATGAAAACTAATTATTTCCATTTATGAGCTTAATCATTTTCTTGGCCATCAAAAAGTCTAAAGATATTTGTACCAATAATTTCTCATTTGAGTGAAGGACAATTTATTGAAAAGAAACCAAGGATCTAAAGGAAGAAGGTTTTGGAAACTATAGAAGTATCTCATCTCTCCACCATAGTATTTTAACTGCATAGGAAAGTCTCATGGAAGTTTGGTTCCTCTGGAGGCGGAAAGGTAGAAATGAGAAAAGGGGCTGTGACCTGGACTGCCTGCAAGGCGGAAAGCACAGAAGAAAAGCAGTGAAGGCCAGCGAGGGGAGCTAAAATCTTAGCTCATTTGTGCCATGTGAGCAGCAACCTGCTTGTGAAGTCTGAGTGCTTGAGCAAGGACGTGTGTTCCTGGGAATATAACAGAGCCAGCACTCAGCCTTGACAGTGAATTCTAAACCACCCCGTGGCAGAAAAGGAAGAGGCAGAATCGCTCTCAGGAGCATGTTCTTAATACTTAACCCAGGGAAGCTGAGGGCCCCAGAGCAGGCACAGAGGGGCATGGCGCGCACACAGAAGGAACTGCAGGCATAACACCCACAAGGAGTCAGCACTCTCCAAACCACAGTTTTCTTCTCTTCTCAACCAGTGTCCTTGGGGGTCTGATCACTACAGGGGTGGGTAATTAATAGGTCTGGCAGCCATACCCAAGGGTGTACTGTATTTTGGGCAAGATACTTGATACTCCCAATTCCATCATCTTATGAACAACTTCCATAGTAGCAGTGACACTACTATAACCACTATGCCACTAACTGGGGGTGAGCTCCATTGTGTCATTAACTGGAGAGGAAAATAGAAACTGTGGAGCAGACAGCATTTCCATAAATACTCCTGGGTTGTAGTGACAATGTTTCTAAAGTATAGCACCTCCATGATCCAGTAACCTCTCCAGGAATCTCTTAAGACACTCAAATTGATAATTAATACTTTCCACCCTTGTCAATTTGACACCTAATCACAGCTTCTTAATCTCCAAATAAACACAATAACAAGTAATAATTCAATCTAATGTGATATAACTCTTCTGGTTACAGCCAAAAATACAATAATCCATGGGCTCTGCAGTCTCAACAATTCTAGCACTGGTCAAAAGTCCACATCCAAAGCCTACTCTGAGGGGGCTGGGGATTTAGCTCAGCAGCATAAGTACCTGCCTTGCAAGCAGGTGGTCATGAGTTCAATCCCCAGTACCAATAAAAAAGAGCAAAGCCTACTCTGAATGAGACTCAAGGCAAACTTATCTTGTGGACTCCTCTAAAAATAAAAAAAAAACAAGCTACATATTTCCAAGATACAATGGGGTAATCACTCCCTTTCCAAAAGGGAGTAATACATGTCAAAAAAAGAATCGGCCCAAAGCAAAACCAAAACTCAGGATGGCAAACATTAAGTTGTCCAGCTCCATGGCCAGCATCCGGGGCACATGGTGATAAGATGTGAATTCCAGAGGGTCTGGAAAGCTCTAATCCTATGGCCTTCTGTGTGGGTACCAGATAGCCTCTATATTGGGCTAGTTCAGCTCACTGCCTGTGGCCTTCCTTGGCAGATGTTTTTTCTCTAGCTTCTTGGGATCTCTGTTGCATCTTTGGCTTTATTTCCACAGTGTCACACATTCCTCTTTGGAGCACACTGGCGAGCCTCCCAAATCTTCCTTTGAATTCCTTGATAGCCCCACAACTCTTGAGTTCCTATAAAACCAGCATCACATGGATGCCACTAAGGACTGCCACTGGTAAACAGTGGTCCCTTGAACCACGGCTGTGACAGCCTCTGAGTGCTGGAATGGCTAAGCACAGTGAAACAAATCCTGGGGAACTAACTCCCTACCCTGGTGGCCCCTCTCAGGCAAGAGGAGCAGAGGCTCTTTTCTCACATTAAAGGTTCATACTTTTGCATCCGATAGCCTGTGATGGGTGAGATCTTAGCAGGTTCTGAGATGCTATCCTTTTCTTCTTTCCTGGTTTAAAGTACTTAGCATCTTCAGCAACAACCACCTTTGGCCTCAACCTTATACATGTTTGCTTTCCAGCTAAAATTTAGGTTTCTCAAATCTTTCTGCTCTCCTTTTTGCTCCTAATTCTCAATGTAAATCCGGCTAATAGCAGCCACCAGTACAAATTCCACAGCCTGAGCATTGGGCTGTCTTCAGATTTCCTGTACCAGTTCAGTTAGTATGTCACCTTTAAATTTAGCCTCACACAAAGTCTTAGGAGATGAACAAAATGCAGGGGTTTTTCCCAGAGTGTAACACATATGGCCTCTAGTCCAACTTGCAGCCAAGTTCTTACTCTTGACTGAGACCTTACAAGCCCTTTATTGTTCACATTTCTATCAGCATTCTGATCTGAGCTCTAACCAGAATCATCCATTAGCCTCCTCTTATAATATTCTTGGATTTCTTTAGCCTGCTTCTCCGTATCTTTCCAAATGCTCTGAACCACATGGTCCACTTCTCTGGTACCATTTTTTAAAAAGTTGGTCAGCTTTGCATAGCTGAGCCCAAAGACCCAAAGACATATGCAACTTGAAGGAGGAAGAGTTTATTTTTGCTCACTGTTTTAGAAGCTGCAGTTCATGGTCAGCCCGCTCCACAGCAAGGATATCATGGCAGCAAGCAGAAGGGTGTCGGGGCGCAAAGCTGC